AAAGGTGGAGGCCAAGAGCCCTACCACTGTCTCTGAGTTGTATGCATGAGGGCAGATGTTGCCTGCAAGGGTGTATCCTAAAGTCAAATTCAGTATCAAGAACGTCCTGTTCTCTGATAATGCTCCTAGGGCAATGGAAACTAAAGAGAAAATAAACAAATGGGACTACATCAAAATAAAAAGCTTTTGCACAGCAAAGGAAACCATCAACAAAACAACAAGAAGGCCCACTGCATGGGAGAACATATTTGCCAACGATATCACCGATAAGGGTTTAATCTCCAACATTTACAGGGAACTCATGCAACTTAACAATAGGAAGATAAACAATCCAATCAAAAAATGGGCAACGGACCTAGATAGACACTTTTCGAAAGAGGACATACAGAAGGCCAAAAGATATATGAAAACACGCTCAAAGCCACTAATTATACGAGAGATGCAAATCAAAACAACAATGCGGTATCATCGCACACTTGCCAGAATGGCTATCATCAACAAATCAACAAACAACAAGTGTTGGAGAGGATGTGGAGAAAAAGGAACCCTTCTGCACTGCTGGTGGGAATGCAGACTGGTGCAGCCACTGTGGAGAACAGTATGGAGCTTCCTCAAAACACTAAAAATGGAACTCCCATTTGACCCAGTGATCCCATTTCTAGGAATATCTCCCAAGAAGCTAGAAACACCAATCAGAAAGGATATATGCACCCCTGTGTTCATAGCAGCTCAATTCACCATAGCTAAGATTAGGAAACAGCCTAAGTGCCCATCAGCAGATGAGTGGATTAGAAAACCGTGGTATATCTACACAATGGAATACTACGCTGCGGTAAAAAAGAAGGAACTCTTGCCATTTGCAACAGCATGGATGGACCTGGAGAGCATTATGCTAAGTGAAATTAGCCAGTCAGAGAAAGATAAATATCACATGATCTCACTCATTTGTGGAATATGGAGAACAACATAGACTGATGAACAGGGACAGATCCAAAGACAGAGAAACAGTGATCAGGCTATCAATCCCCAGAGGGAAAGTAGGGGAGGGTGGGGGTAAGGGGAAGAGATCAACCAAAGGACTTGTATGCAAGCATATAAGCCAAACCAATGGACAAGGACAACAGAAGGATGAGAGCATGGGGGGGGGGGGGGGGAAGGCGGGGAGTGGGGAAGTGAGAGGATGGGGGTTAATGTGGGGATGAGGACACATTTGTAATACCCTAACCAATAAAGAAATTAAAAAAAAAAAAAAAGAACGTCCCATTGTGGGAGGCAGGCCCTTGCCCAGGCTGGAGGAGGGCTGTGAGCCTGCGGGCTGACAGGGTCTTAACCCACAAAGATCGGCCCCACGCGCGCGCGACCCCACACCCACCCACTCCCTGCGCCGCCCCCTCCCACCCTGAGCGGAGCCACTGAGGATGATAAGCACCCAGGACGGTAGCATTTTGCCCCCGAGTAACTGCCCCCAGCTCCAGTGCTGCAGGCACATTGTTCCCGGGCCTTAGTGCTGCTCCTGGTGCCGTCACCCACTGAGGAAGATCCCCGCGGGGCGAGGGGCGGCAGGGATCCTTCTCTCTCAGCTCTAATAACTAAGGACCAGAAGCTCACTGTGACCAGGATCTCCCGTGAACAGTGGACAACCTCACATCGTCCGCTTCCAGTACGAGGTCACGAGGGGAAGGCCTCTCCCTGGGATGCAGTCCTGTGCAGCCAGAGCCTGTTTATAAAGATCCCAGGTGGAGTACTAGCTGATGGGAGCAAAGACGGGCTGTCAGCACTGCTGGAGTTTGCCGAAGAGAAGATGAAAGCGAACTGTGTCTCCATCTGCATCAGGAAAGGCTGGGAAGACAGAGCTCCACTCCCGAAGACCTTCAGCTTCTTGGGCTTTGAGGTTGTAGGGCCAGACCATCCCTGTGTACCCTCTCAGCCAGATGTGATGTTCATGGTTTAGCCGCTGGACCAGAACTTGTCCCATGAGCACTAACGGTCAGAGGATGCTTTGCCCAAGAGCCACAGTGGGGACAGAGGGGGTTAGGCAGCCCTGGGACCGAGGAGGGGGCTCCTCGCTGACTAGGGAAGGACGCTGAGTGGCTCAGGGTGAAGGCTGCCTACTGTATTCTTGGTGTTGACTCGTTGAAATTGTTTTCCATAAGGAACAGTATAAACATATTCACATGTAACGACCAGTAGTAAATGATGTTTATGGAGTGGCATTCGAAGCTTTCTAAACTGCCCTGTGCGATGTGCTCTATCTGGCCTACGGGGAGGACATTGCCTAGAGGGGAGGGACTATCTGGGTCTGGGGCAAGACCTGGAGGGGTGGTGGGTAGCACTGTCAGGCTCAGGCCCCCCAGCTATTGGGCTTTCTCTTTGGTTTTTAAGACTTGTGTATTTCCTTTCCTTGCTTCCTGTCACCCCAGGAGCTCCCGAGTAGAGGCCTGGCAGCCCCAGGGGCAGCCGTGTTGTTTTTTGACGCCCCACCTGGGCTTCTGTGTGCATGTGTGTCCGGCCTGGAGAAAGCAGGCCTGACCCCCTTTTACAGCTTAGTGTTATTCTGGCATTTGGTTAAACTGGCTTCATCTGTGAAATGTTATCAGTGCATTTTGCAGAGGGACATTCAAGTTCACTCCCACCACCAGGACTTTCTTTGGGGTGCCTGAGCCCCTATAAAACACTACTCAAGTCCAATTCTCAGATCATGGCCAGTTCTTGCTACTGGCTGCACGGCCTAGGCCCCAGCATCTCCTTCCTAGGGTCACAAAGAGCGGAGATGAAGAGGAATGGCGACTCAGGGCCTGGGGTTGTAGAGGTGGCCTGCCCTTTTGTTTTCAAGGTACATCTTGTTCTAAAGGGCGAGAGGTCTAATCTGGGTGAGGGGGTGGGGGTGTTCGGAAGGCAAGTGTGCTGTGCTACAGTGTCAATAAACTGATTTAAAGTTAAACAAACAAATGTCCTGTTGTGGCCTGTGCTCTTCTCCAGACTGTGTTCTCAGTTCTTTATCAGATGGACGCCAAGGTGGTGGAAGAAAGTGTTGCACATGCAGACCAAGTTTAACACTTTTATTGTTTCATATTGTTTTTAATATGTGCACATACTGTTTCAAGATGAGTTTTCACAAATGCAGTTACACCACCATCAAGACAGAAAACACTCCATCAACCAAAGGAACACAGTCGTGGTGGCAGTTTATACTGTATCCACCTCTGAACACGATTTGTTACCGGTTCCTCCAAACCTGGACCTTTTCTGGAATGTCATGCAATGAATAGCCATGTTGTCTTTTAAGTCCCGTTTATAAACTTTGACACTGCATTTGCAATGGTACAGAAATATACAAGGCTAGCAGCGATCTTCTGAGTTAAAGTTTTTGACTTTGGACAATACGGCACACATTAGGACTTCAAAATGGAGATTCTACCATTACGAGTTACGTAAATCGGGACAAGATTTCTGCTTGATGATGGGGGCAGGGGTCATAGGAGATACCAGTGATCATAAAATCATAAAATATGTACACCGCTAAGAAAACAGCACTGAAAGAAAGAAGAGGGACCAAGTCTGGATGTCCTTTGCTCTTTAAAGAAATAAAAGCAACACCTTTCCCCCATGTTTCATAACATCACCTGGAAGTGTAACCATGGAAATGATTCCTGACAACAGCAAAAATGAGCACGGATGGCTTGGTGCCTTCTGCTGAAACAAAAAACCTCCAGCTACTCTTCTCATCAGAGACACAGAAAATGTCCCACATTGAAGATATCAAATACACCTGCTTTGCTGATACTCTGCCTGCAGGTCACCTTAAACTTTCCTGAGATCATTATCCTCTGAACAGCAATGGCTTCCTGGTGTTTTAACCAGAAAACCACCTTAGACATGCACAGGAATCACTCTACTCACAGAAAACCCATGACGGGTACAACTGTGCAGATTACCAGAACTTTCAACTGGGAGGAATTTTTTTAAAAGTTTCAAAAGGTACACAAATTGTGTCACTCCATTTGAATAGCGGCAAAATTATATGCCATTTTAAAAGTGAATTTCAAATTATTTCCATTGGTTTTAAATAGAAACACCATGGCCTAAAGCAGTGAGAAGTCTCTCATGTCACATACCCATGCCCATATTCTTAATTAAGTAGCACATGCTCTGAAACTTAGAACCATTTATAGTGCTTTCTGGAAAACCATTGCTGTGAAACCAGGAAGGCATAACTTTGGTGATGTTTGCCCATTGTTTAAATCCACACTCTAGCAGATCCACAAGTCTTTAGAAGTATTACATGGGAGGAAAGATGATCAATGATGACACCCCCATTTACTGATGCCCCTACCCTCCATAATGAAGATATATAATCCATCCACATTCCCAATTATCTCCCCTGCGTTTGCATTTACTTACAACTTTTTAAAATATATATTAGTAAAATATACTTTTTTTGTTTTTTTTGAGAGGCAAAGTAAAATAGAAACATCAATGAGAATGAACATACATCAGCTGGCTACTGCACACACCCTACTGGGGATTGAGCACCCAACCTGGGCATGTGCCCTGACCATCAATCAAACCATGACCTGGCAACAACTTCATTTTTGTAAGAAGCCAAAGTTTTTTTTATTTAACCACCAGTGGCCCAGTGCACAAAATTTGTGCAGGGGTGGGGGTGTCCGTCAGCCCAGCCTGCACCCTCTCCAATCTGGGACTCCTCCGGGAATGTCCAATGCCATTTACCAGCAACCAACAATCAGACATCCCTCTCACAATCTGGGACCGCTGGCTCCTAACCACTCACCTGCCTGCCTGCCTGCCTGCCTGCCTCTAACCACTCTGCCTGCTGGCCTGATCACCCCCAACAGTCCCCCCTTGCCGGCCTCCTCCCCCCAAACTGCCCCCCCCAGCCTGCTTGGCCGCAACTGCTCCCCCCACCAGCCTGCTTGCCCCCAACTGCCGCCCCTGCCAGCCTGCTCATCCCCAACTGCCCCCCCACCCACCAGCCTGTTCACTCCCAATGCCTCCCTCCTGGCCTGAGCTCCCTAACCGCCTCTGCCTTGACCCTGCCACCATGGCTTTGTCCTGAAGGTCTCCTGGTCTAATTAGCATATTACCCTTTTATTAGTTTAGAAGGTTATTTCCTTTCCCACAAAAACATGAGCACCAGCAATGCAAGAACTTTTTTCTTTCATGCCTGTATATCATGACTTGGACAGGTGTGCTAAATTGGACATGTTTTCCATGTCAATTGCCTGGCATGTGCAGGATGTTGACATTATCATCATGATCATACTTTCTCCTTGGCCAGTCAACTCAGTTGATTAGAACATTGTCCCAGTATGCCAAGATTGTGGGTTCATTCACAGGTCACACACAAGAATCAACCAATGATTGCATAAATAACTGGAACAACAGATTGATGCTTCTTTCTTTCTCTCTCAAATCAACTTTTTTTAAAAGGTTGGGGGGGAAAGTCAAATTTTTGTCAGCAAGAACGGCTTCTTGGAAGAGAGATCCTAACTTTGTTTTCTTGCTAGGTTTGTGTTCTTTAACAATATTCCCAAATTTATAAACCTCAGTTGACCCATAAAGGAGTTAACAAGTTACATATCTTGTTAGGAAGTACGTGATTTTAAATTAATATATATGTAATATAGATACTTAACTGAGGTACTTTTTGGAAATGTGCCCAATACAGCAAATTAAATATTTCAGTATTTAGGTAACAAGAAAGGCAAACGCTATTCGACAACTGGTTGCTGGCCTTATACTCCCTGTGGAAAAAGAAAATGTCAAACGTCCATCATCACACAGAGCTACTCCATGACCACAATGACTCAAGACAAAAGCAAAGGCATTCATGTCTGCACATGTGATCAAGGAGAACAGGTTTCAAAGGAATAAAAATAACGAATATTGCTTTTCTCACTAATATGATTTGTGCTTCTTACAGTTTTGATTTAGCATGATTTTTTCTGCCTTCTAAAGAAAAATCATTATCATTATGCAAGATAGAATGAAGTTCATTTCCTCACAGAATTCAATGCAGAAATATGTATTGCTTCCTTGAAGGGAAATCAAATTGTCTATCACAAGGCAAAATATAATAAGAAATCCTTTAAAGGCTGCTGTTACTGTTACATCTCAGGCGTTTATGGTTTCTGATCATGCTTATTTTAATTTATTCCATCACATTTCTCTGTTACTGCAGATGTGATTTTGTTGGTCTTTAGCTCCAGGAACTAAAAATACATGACTGAAGTTTTTAATACTTTGAACGAATAAGAAATTAGTCTGGTCCAAACATTATAAGTATACAGATAAGAAAAAATATAATTTCCCTGAGGAAACCATGTCTTAATTGTACACACATGACACTTGTGACTCAGAGTGTATAATGATTAAATGGAAAAAATGACAAATTGATCTGAAAATACATAATTACTATGGGATAATTAAATACATCATCAGGAAATAACAAAACACCATAACAATTCTTAGCATATGAGCGGTTGGGAAACAGTTAATATTTCATTAAAAATTACATAAGCATTGTCCTAGATGGTTGGGCTCAGTGGATAGAGCGTAAGCCTGCGAACCAAAAGATCCCGGGTTGATTCTGGTCAAGGGCACATGCACTGTTCCAGGCTCAATCCCCAGTAGAGAGCGTACGGGAGGTAGCTGATGAATGATTCTTATCATTGATGTTTCTATCTCTCTCTCCCTCTCTCTCCCTCTCTGAAATCAATAAAAAAATTACTTTAAAAAATGCATTTATTAGGAAAAATGCCATAATTTTAATCACATACAACCCAAGATAACTGAAAACGTTGAGAGATTAGGCTCAGCTCTGAGTGACACCACACATCCAGAGTCTGCCTGCAATGAGGAAAGTGCCGATTCTCACATGGGAGGACTAGGTCAGAGCCCTCACTGCAGAGGGTGGTACAAGAACAAACTGTCATGGGGCTCTTTGGCACTGCACCACTGCCGCAGTCACAGTGGCATCTGAATCACAGTCAGTAGTAGAACCAAAAGGACAAGATGATTTCTAGTCAAAGTAGACCTCATGCACATGCAATCTAGAGAACATTGCGTACCCTTCAGAAAACAGCCTCAACCATGGCAGTCTGCATTTGTTGCCCGGTGGACACCTATGGGCTTGCAGGAAAAGCCATCCTATGCTGGATCTTTAATGTTGAATTGTGAACAACTATAAAGCTTACACCCAACATCAATGGAAGTAAAGCAGAGGCTGGCTGTTTTGAGGATATTCTTGGCTGGCAGGGTAAAGATGAGAAAAAAAACCTAAAATATTCTCTTCTTAATATGAACTTCATAGCACAATTTGCAGCCAAAAGCAACACACACACACACACACAAAACATGAAAATAATACACAGGGGGCCTCTACAGTGAACAGTACCTATGTAAAAATATATGGCAAATAATAGTGAATCTCAAGTGCAATTGAAAATTAAAAAAGAATACATATGTGTGTAGGGCCTATTCATTCAATACCTGTCAGGGCACATTACGGGTCAGGGAACATGGCAAGACAACCCATCGATGTTTCTCTCTCACATCGATGTTTCCCTCTACTTCTCTCTGCCTTCCTCACTCTAAAGCATCAATTTAAAGAAACTAGTAAAAAAAGAATGAGTACTGATGATGACCAAATATGTCAAAAGTTTATAGGACTTCTTTAATGCTGTGAGTTTTGGGGAGTATATGACTTAATTTGCAGCAGGCTTACATGTACCAGTTAGTTACACTAATAGGATTTCCTTCCAGTGCAGTTTTCTAGCTACTCTGAAAGTATTTGTTAAAAGGTTTTGTTAAGTTTTTTTTCCAGTTGTTAATTATACAGTGTACATTCTCACATGGTATTGTAGGTATATGAGGCAACATGAAGGTTTTCCTACATTTTTACATTCAATACATTTTTACACTTTTGAGTTTTTTTATGACCTTTCCAAGGAAAAGGGACAGCTGAAGGCTTCCCCACCTTCTCTATATGTATTCACTATTTCTCCAGGTGCGTTCTCACATGTCCAAGAAAGGCTCTCCCGCATTGCTTATGTTTATATACTTACTCTTGGGTGTGAGTCCCTCCATGATTTTGTAAAGAACTAGGATGGCCAAAGGCTCTTCTACAATCTTTACATGACAGCCTTCTCTTCAGTGGGTTCTGTTATCCTTTACAATAAAATGGAAGAAATGAATGCTTTCTAAAACTCTTACATTTCTAGGGTCCATCCCTAATATGGATAATCATACATGATGGCAGAGCTGAGATAAATGAAGGCTCTTTGCTATTCTTTACATTAACAGTGTTTATCAATACATTTTTGTTTTTACATGTCTGTAAAAACTAGTTGGATCCTGAAGGCTTTACGACATTCCTTACATGGCTATGGTTTCTCTCCACTATGAGAATTTTTGTGAATTTGAAAGGATCTGAGATGACTGTAGGTTATCCCACATTTTTTGCATTCATAGGGTTTCTTCCCGGTATACATTTCATGATATTTAAGAGAAAGGATAACAAAAAGGTTTACTTCATTCCTTATTTATGAGGCTTCTTTCCATTATGAATTCTTCTATGTCTTCAAACATGTGACATCCAATGGAAGGTTTTCGCACATTGCTTCCATTCTTAAGGTTTTTCCCTAGTATGTGTTCTTCCATGCTTTCTAAGAGACTTGCAGAAACTGAAAGCTTTACCACATTCCTTACATTTATAGAGCTTTTCTCCAATGTGTGTGTTTTCATGTCTGGTCGCATGCAGTAGGCAACCAATTGATGTGCTTCTCTCACATCAATATTGCTCTCTGTCTTTCTCTCTGACTTCCAATATCTCAATGGAAAAATATTCTCAGGTGTGTATTAAAAAACAAAACTAGGATGGTCAAAGGCTTTTCTACAATCTTTACATGACAGAGCTTATTTTCAGTGTGAGTTCTTTCATTCCTTATTATTTCTTTCCACTACTAAGAGTTTTTGTGATTTTGAAGGGAACTGGGATGAATAAAGGCTTTCCCTCACAGCTTACATTCATAGGGTTTTTCCTTATCATGAGTTCTTTCATGACATCGGAGGGAAGTTGGATAAGAGAAAGCTTTACCACAATGGCTACATTCATAGGGTTTTTCCCCAGTATGCACTCTTTCATGAATTCTAAGGAAAGCAGGATAAAGGAAAGTTTTGCCACATTCCTTACATTCATGAGGCTTCTTCCCGTCATGACTTCTTTTATGTTTTCCAAGAGAGCTGAGCCAAGTGAAGACTTTCCCACATTGCTTACATTCATAGGGCTTTATCCCAGTATGAGTTCTTTCATGATTTCTAAGGGAATAGTGATGATGAAATGTTTTACCACATTCCTTACATTCATAAGGCTTCTTTCCATTATGACTTTTTTTATGTTTCCCAAGAGAGCTAGGAGAACTGAAGGCTTTCCCACATTGCTTACATTCATAGGGTTTTTCCCCAGTATGAGTTCTTTTATGATATTGGAGGGAAGTTGAATGAGAGAAAAGTTTACCACAAAGCTTACATTCATAGGGTTTTTCCCTAGTATGAGTTCTTTCATGATCTAGGAGAGAAGATTGATAATAGAAACCTTTACCACAATGCTTACATTCATAGCATTTTACCCCAGTATGAGTTCTTTCATGACGTCGACGGGCAACTGAAGAAGAGAAAACTTTTTCACAAAGCTTACATTCATAGGGTTTTTCCCCAGTATGAGTTATTTCATGCTTTCGAAGGGAACAGCAATGACGGAATGCTTTACCACATTCCTTACATTCATGAGGCTTCTTTTCTTCATGACTTCTTTTATGATTTCTAAGAGAACTGAGCAAACTGAAGACTTTCCCACATTGCTTACATTCGTAAGGTTTCTTGCCGGTATGTGTTCTTTCATGATTTCTAAGAGAAGTGGAACTGGAAGCTTTGCCAGATTTCTTACATTGATAGGGCTTTTCTGCAGTATGTGTTCTTTCATTTTCTCCAGAGTACTTGGGAGAACTGAAAGCTTTGCCACGTTGCTTACTTTGATATTGTTTCTCGCCACTATGAGTGTTTTTGTGAAGTTTAAAGTAACTGAGATGACTAAAGCCTTTCCCACATTGCTTACACTCATACAGTTTCCCACCAATATGTGTTCTTTCATGATTTCTAAGGGAAGCTGAATGGTGGAAAGCTTTCCCACTGGGGCTGCCTTCATGGCTTTGAATATGTTGGTGATGCTTGAAAGCTTTCTCAGGTTCCTTACATTTATAATCGTTTTCTTCATATTCCTGACACAGGTATAGTTTGGGTCCAATGTGAGAGCTCAGGTGTTTATTCAAGGATAAATAACCCATGAAGATTTGCCTACACAACTTGGATTTAAGTTGTTTTATCTCAGTAGGAGTTTCCTTCTTTTCATTATGATTTGGAATCTGGCTGAAGTTTTCTCTGCATTGACTACCATCCTTCCTTTTACAGGGTCTCTCTACCATATGACTGCTGTAAAAATCAGAAACATATTATTAATACTCTGTTAACAATTTAATATTTATTAATAGCATGACAATGACATTTTCACCATTCTCAAGGGAAATGCAGTGTATCTGGATATCCAATATTTGAATGTAAATATCCTAAAACCTCTAAAATAGGTTGGATCATAGATGTTATGAAAACACTTATAGTCATTAATGGTACTTCTGTATATGGTTTCCAAGTGTAATTATTTTTATACACTAAACATGTATATCATATTTCAGAAAAAGACATTTGGATGAGAATATTATAAGAGTCAATAAATTTAAAACTGGGCTGATACAATTGGATTACCTGTTTTAAAGCTTCTTTTGTGGATTGGGTCCCTGTGGTCAGTGGTTAAGCATGGATCCACCCACCAGGGGTTTGCTGGTTCAATTCCCCAAAAGGCAATGTGGCCAGACTGCAGACTTATTAACCCCAGTACAGGGCATGCAGGAGGCAGCCAATTGATGTTTCTATCTCTCCCTCTCACCTCCACACACTAAAATCAATAAAAACATTATTTTTGCACCCCCGGCGAGGCTCAGTGGTTAAGCGAGGACCTCTGAACCAGGAGGTCAGTGTTCAATTCCTGGTCAGGGCATATGCCCAGGTTCTGGACTTGATTCTGAGTGTGGGGCATACAAGAGGCAGCCTTAAATAACTCTCTCTCATCATTGATGTTTCTCTTTCTCCCTTTCTGAAATAAATAAAAAAACATTAAATATATAAATAAAGAAAATAAATATATAAAAACATATTTTTTAAAAAAGCAAAGATGCTCTTAATGCTTTCTCATGTCAATGCGACTCACCTAAGACTCATCCCATGATTTTCATACTGATCTTCACTGTCATGGTCTTCACATTTTTCTTCCAAAGTACATGCTAGAAAAAGCATTATAAACTATTAAAGAATATTAAAAATGATTAAATTTCAGGTACACAATGAGCTGTGCCAATGCCCAGTTTATCAATGTATTCATTCCCCTTTTCACATTTCAGTTCTTAAAACAATATTGATGAGCAAGCAACATTTGTTTTGTAATTGATTAAATAAGTAAGAAGGTATGATCACTACCTACTGATGCCAGGTTCCAGAAGGTTTCCTGCATCACATCTGTGTAGAGTTTTTTCTGGTTTGGATCCAGGAAAGCCCACTCCTCCATGGTGAACTCCACGTTAACATCCTCAAAGGCCACTGTGTCCTAAAACATCCCCCATACGTATACAGGAGGAAGGATGAGACAGATAGCACAAGAGATCTATATATAACTCATAAGTTCATAAATGGCATGTGCTCCCCAACATTCATTCTATGACTTGGGTATCAGACTATTATTTATTGGCCACACTTACTTCCTCATGAACACATGGAATTATTGCCAGTGGTTTTCTTATTGTGATCACTTCATTGCTCTCTAATGTCACTTTGAAAAAGATAACAAAATATGTCTATTTTAAGTACATCAATTCCTGGTGAGAAAACTAATCTCCTTTAGAACCACCATATGATGCAGCATTCCAGGAAGCACACTATCGTATCTGTATAACGTTCTAATGACTATAAATACAATAAAGGCCTGGAAGGTTTTTCTTCTTTTTCTAATATATGTTTTATTAATTTTAGAGATGAAGGGAGAGGGAGAGAGAGATAAAAACATCAATGATGAGAGAGAATCTTTGATCAGATGCCCCTCTACATACCCCACACTAGTGATGGAGCCCACAACCCAAGCACGTGCTCTGATCGGGAATCAAACCATAACCTCCAGGTTCATAGGTAGATGCTCAACCACTGAACCATGCCAGCCAGGCTAGAAGCTTTTTCTTCTATTCTCATTACCAAACACAAGAGGCCAGGAGGTATGTGAAAATTCAACTTGTAACAAAATGTAATTGGTCATATCATCCTGAAGTACTCCAGATTATTATAAGTATTTAGCTCTACCTGGTTGAACGAAAATATTCTTTTGGAGAAGTATGAATGATCATTTGTTTATATAATATTTATTTCTGACTCAGTTTGACCTTCTTTTGCCTGTCTCATTTCATGGAGCTAAGAAGTTATCAGAGTTAGAGCTTAGGCATGAGGAAAGCAGGGCAACTTAGACTCTACAAAAGTCCTCCCACTCATGAGCCTGAGGGTTACTTAATACAAATTTTTAGGACACATAGACAGATCACACAAAAGAAAAGTCTTTACAGCAAAACAGTAACACTGTAAGCTGGGCCTTGACCTTGAGGCACAATTTAAGACTTGACATGTACAATGGCCTTCATTGCAATCCATAATATTTTCATGTTGAATTGGCATGATTACAAAATACATAAAGTGCCAGGGAGGTATTAAAAATATCAGGGGGGACATTTATAAAGATTTGTCTAACCACTATGTTCTACACATGAAATGAATACAAAATAAAATTAAATGTAATTTGTAATTGAAATGTAAACTTTAAGTGGAACATATATGGTGTTCATGCATAGGAAGAATTAATACCATTAACATGTCCATACTACCCAAAGCAATTTATACATTCAATGCAATTCCTATCAAGATACCAATCATATGCTTGACATAACTAGAACAAATATTCCAAAAATTCATATGGAACCACAAAATACCCCAAACAGCCACAGCAATCTTGAGAAAGAACAACAAAGCTGGACAAGTCATACTACCTAATATTCAATTATACTACAAGGCCATTGTAACCAAAGCACCATGGTAATGGCATAAAAACAGATGTAGATCAATGGAACAGAACAGAAATCCCAGAAATAAACCCATGGATTTATGGTCAAGTAATACTTGACAAAGAAGGCAAGAGCATACAATGAACAGACTATTTTAGTCTATTCAATAAATGGTGTTGGGAAAATTGGGGAGATACATGCAAAAAAAAAAATATGAAACTATACCAGCTTCTTAGAACATACACAAGAATAAACTCAAAATGGATTAAAGACTTAAAAGTAAAGCTCAAGCCCTAACCAGTTTGGCTCAGTGGAGAGCGTCAGCCTGCGAACTAAAAGGTCCCAGGTTCGATTCCGGTCAAGGGCATGTACCTTGGTTGCGGTTACATCCCCAGTTGGAGGTGTGCAGGAGGCAGCTAATCAATGTTTCTAACTCTCTATCCCTCTCCCTTTCGCTCTGTAAAAAATCAATAAAATATATTTAAAAAAAAAAAAAAAAAAAGGTAAAACTGAAAACCATAAAAATCCTAGAAGAAAACACAGGCAGTAAAATCTTGAACATTTCTCCTGGAAATATTTTTTTTCTGATATATCTCCTCTAGAAAGGGAAACAAAAGAAAAATAAACAGCCCTAACTGGTTTGGCTCAGTGGATAGAGCATCAGCCTGCGGACTGAAGGGTCCCAGGTTCGATTCCGGTCAAGGGCATGTACCTTGGTTGTGGGCACATCCCCAGTAAGAGGTGGGCAGGAGGCAGCTGATGGATGTTTCTCTCTATTCAATGTTTCTAACTCTCTATCCCTTTACCTTCCTCTCTGTAAAAAATCAAAAATATATTTTGAAAAAAGAAAAATAAACAATTTGGACTATATCAAACTAAAAGGAAATCACCAACAAAATGAAAAGACAACTAACTGAATGGTAGAACATATTCCACAATGAAATGTCTGATAAGGGGTTAATTGCCCAAAATGTATAAAGAACATATACAATCCCTGGCCACTGTGGCTCATTGGTTAGTGTCTTGGGTTCGATTCCCGGTCAAGGGGATGTACCTGGATTGCGGGTTCAGGTTTTTTCCCTGACCCAATCAGTGAGTGTGGGAGGCAGCCAACCAATGTGTCTCTCACACCAATCGATGTTTCTCTCTCTCCTTTCCTCCCTTCTCTCTAAAAAAACAAACAACTAATGGAAAAATATTCCTTAGATGAGGATTAACAACAACAAAAATTTATACTACTCAACACCAAAACCCCCCACAATCCAATTAAAAAATAAGCAAAGGACCTGAATATACACGTCTCTTAAGAGGGCATATAGATGGCCAATCCAATTAAAAAATGGACAGCCCTGGCCTGGTGACTCAGTTGGTTGGAGCACTGTCTTGTACACCACAAGTTTGTGGGTTTGCTTCTCAATCACGGCACATATCCCAGTGGTGGGTTAGATTGCAGGTTGGGGTGTGTATGGGAGGCAACTAATTGATGTATCTCTCTTTCCCTCTCCCTTCCTATTTTTCCAAAAGCAATAAAAAAACATATCTGGAGAGAATTTTTGTTAAAAAAGGAAATAAAAGAACACAAAAAGAACCCAGCATATATATCCTATCTAATAATACACAAGACAAACATGGTAATTAACCATACCTTCACTACCATCACCATTGGCTGATCAGAGTGATATGCAAATTAACCGCCAAGAAAGATGGCGGCTAATTTGCATACAACAGGCAGGGTGGGACACCGGGAGCCACCATCCAGGCCCCTGTGTACGACCCCAGGAGCTGCCGGAAAGCCAGGCCGCAGGCAAGGTGGCCCCCCAGGACCCAGAAGCCGCCTTGCCTGTGGCCCACATTGTGATCGTTATCGTGATCGTGATCGGAAAGCCAGGCCGCAGGCAAGGCGGCCCCCTGGAACCCAGGAGCCAGTCGGCGAGGTCTGCAGATGAAGCAGCGATCAAGCTATGAGGGGGAGGGTGGGGGGCAGAAGGAACAGGAGCAGCTCTGGCCAGAGACTGAAGACTCCGGCCGGAGCGAGGAGCAAAGACTGAAGGCTCCAGCCACAACAAAGACTGTGTCCAGAGCGAAGATGGAAGGCGATGGCCAGAGTGAAGGTCTGGGTCCTGGGTGCCAGAGGAAAACTGGTGCTGGCAGCCAGGGGAAAGAAGGCTTATTGCACGAATCTTCGTGCAATGGGCCTCTAGTGTGTGTGTGTGTGTGTGTGTGTGTGTATTTTTTTTTTTAAATGGGCAAAGGACCTGAATTGACACTTCTCCAAAGAGAACATAGGGATGGCCAATAGACATGAAAAATGCTAAAAGTCACTAATTATCAGTGAAATGCAAATTAAAACCACACTGAAAAAATCACCTCACACCTGTCAGAATGGCCATCATCAATAAATCCACAATTGAAAAGTATCAGTATGGAGTTTCCTCGAAAAATTAAAAATGGAACTGCCTCATGAGCCAAAGATTCCACTTCTGGGAATATATCCAAAGAAACTCCAAAACACCAATTCAAAAGAAAATATGCACCCCTATATTCATTGTAGCCTTATTTTTTTAAAATATATTTTATTGATTTCTTACAGAGAGTAAGGGAGAGAGAGAGAGTCAGAAACATCGATGAGAGAGAAACATCGATCAGTTGTCTCCTGCACACCCCCTACTGGGGATGTGCCCACAACCAAGGTACATGCCCTTGACCGGAATCAAACCTGGGACCTTTCAGTCCTCAGGCCAACGCTCTATCCACTGAGCCAAACCAGCCAGGGCTGTAGCATTATTTTTAACTAGAGGCCCATTGCATGAAAATTCATGCACTGGTGGGGGGTCCCTCAGCCTGGCCTGCCCCCTCTCACAGTCCAGGAGCCCTCAGGGGCAGGAGACGACCTGGTGATCAGGGGAAGACAACACTCCATCACACCTCTGCTACTGCCATTGCCAGCAGCGTAAGCCTCGGCCAGCCCTGGTTACCTGAGCCTCGGGCAGCCCTGGGTGGCTAAGGGGCTGAGGGGACTGGGGGACTCCAGAGGCAGGCAGGGCTGAGGGGACTGGGCACCGCCAACTTTGAGGGTATTAGCATATTCCCTCCTTATTGGCTGTGGGCACTGCCATCTTTGAAGGTGTGGCAGTCAATTAGCATATTCCCTCCTTATTGGCTGTGGGCGCTGCCATCTTTGTGATGGCATGAGGGTCAATTAGCATATTCCGCTTTATTAGATAGGATAGACAAGATTTGGAAGCAGCAAGCCCTGACCAGTGTGGCTCAGTTGCTTCAGTGTCATCCTGTGCACCAACGGGTTAGCCATTCCATTCGCAGTGGGGGTGCATGCCCAGGTTGTGAGCTGGATCCCCAGTAGAGGGCGTGCAGGAGGCCGCAGATAGATGTCTTGTTCTCACATCAATGTTTCTGTCTCTCCCTCTCCCTTTCACTTTCTATATCAATACAAAAATGTTTTAAAAAAATTTTTAAAGAAAAGATCTGATAGCTGCTCAAGTGCCCACCA